TATGGTCTGTTATATCTAAGTCAACGAAATGTTCAATGGACGTATATAAATATATATTATGAGCTTAATGGTTATGTCTCAAAACACCATTGCTATGTGGTATGAAACTGAACTAAGAAAATTAATGTTGCATTTTTCTCATGGTGTAAGTGATAAGTCCCAACTAATGTTCAGTTGAGAAGGTGATCACGCAGTTCAAGGTGAACTTCCCACATGAGTACAAACTTTCATCAAATTCTGAGAAAAAGAGCTATGTGACACAACTGTTTACTCATCAGAAAAATTTGTGAGAAACATTTTTAGACTAATTCTCTGGATAGCACTGCATAGCAAGGCAAACGTTTTATGAACGGTGCTAGAAAGAATGAAGACGTTTTAGGCAGTGACGTAGCAATATAGCAACAAACTTTAAAGTTTGCACTGATGGCGCAATATACTGCCAACTGCAGCTTGAATAGTAATACCATGTTTGATTTCTTTATCTAAACGCTTCTGATCATGGCTATTGCTCTGAAAAAGTGACGATCACCTTAGCAGGGATTCCTTGTTTGGAGCGCGGTATCTCCCTGACCAAAAGACACACCAAACATTTTCTTAATGCATCTTTCATATCATATTCCGATTTACAATTGACATAAATGTAATAAATTTAAATAAGATAGAGCAATAAATTAATTTAAAGAGGTGTAAAAAATTTACATTTTCTTGCAAATTGACTGTTAAATAATTACATCTTGTTTATTTTATGTTATTCACTCAAAGGTCCCTACAAATTTGTAAGTGCCGATCAGAAAGTAATTTTGTCCTCTGAAAATCCTCAAGGTAAATTACTATTAGATTATGAATAATTCGTAAAAGATTACCTTTCTATCAAAGAATTTGAGGTTGATCAACTAAGTTGATTTATCTTTCTACGTACATGTTTACTTCATGACAACGCATAATTTAGTTCTTCCATATTGTATTTTAACGCTCTGCTTAACGGTCATGGGAAAGAATAAGGAACTAACAAATGTATATTAACAAAACAAACCAACCTTTTTTTTTTGGCCGTGGCATAGCAGTTCATAGAATGGCTCTGAGTTTTTTGTGTTTTTTTATTTCAAGTACACACATTTAGCTCATAGCTCCGTCATCTCTTGACCGATTTAAGATCTAATTACAGTTTTGGAGTAAGAAGATCAAACCCTTTCCATTGATGTATTTAACCATGCCCAAGATCTCATAGATTAATTTACTCTAAACCTACGCAAAATAATTTCAATCTGAGGGTTGGCTGGTAGAAATCCTGATTAGTAATAAAATCGAATCAGGTATACACGCCTCCCGCGCTTGGTATTGCTTGCGCACTAGAGAAAAAGAAGTATCGTAGATTAATTTACTCTAATCTTACCTAAACGAATTTTAAGTGCTGTGGCTATTGAGTATTCCATCTTGTTTAAAATTGAATTTAGATTAACATTTGTGAGATATGAATTTTGGTAGCTTAAAATTCTTTATATTTTATTCGTGTTATGAAATGTCCTCATGACCATCAAGAAGTGAGTAAATTGAAATTATGTAATCATGCCATGATAACCAGTTTCTTTTAGAAACCATTCATGTGACTACTTTTTTCTTTATTTTTACTTCATACAGTTAATCATTTTTTCATGCCATTCGATGGGAGTTTGTTACCCGGCGAATCAGTGGTATTCTTGAGGGTTTATAACGTTAAAACTCCATATTCAATTCTTACGTTGAACATAGCACATATAGCCTACTATGTAGCTTTGCGCATAACGTAAAACTGTATACCGTGATGTTGTTAGTGTTTCTGATAATTCTATGTTTTCTTTCACGTGTTTTTTTTTTTTTACTGTTTAATTATTAATAATTGACATAACAGGTATTGATAAAATTATTTTGATACGTGAAATATTTTTATGGGACCAATGTAATTATTTCATTTGCAGATTCGTTATGAATGAGCAAACAATTACAGCCTAAACACGTTAGAGTTAGTTGTATATGAGTAAGCAATGAAAAATGTTGTAAGAAAAAAAAAAAAACTGTTGTCAATTTCAAACAGAATGATTTTCTAATACTTTCCTGCCTAACTGATTTTATCGTAACTTATAGTACGTGCTGTGATTACCTAGCTCTAAAACATATCTTAGATTATGTGCACAGGTAATTATTACTTTTATATGGTCCCTGGTGTATTCAAGACGGTTGCTCAGAAAGAAGACGATATCAAAAGGAGATAATTCCTTTTATTTCATAATTATTATCTGACATATCAGTATCTTCTGTCATATCAGTCTTTATTATATGTCAAGCAGCAGGAAACTTTTATAATCGGCTTCGCATCATATTTCCTGTACTATTTTTTAAAATAAAAATATAGATAGATAGATGAGGTTTTAGAAAAAAAGTTTAGTAGGTTGGTCAACGTAATTACCAGAAAAGGCGTGAATATGGGCTGTATACATTTCTCACAAGAAGTATACCTGGTGTCTTACATAACATTTGTTTGAAGTTAAGCACAAAGCTACACAATGGGCTATCTGTACTCTGCCCACCACGGTTATCGAAACCCGGTTTCTAGCGTTGTAAGTCCGCAGACATACCGCTGTGCCACTGGGGGCTCCTAACGTTTTTTGTTTGTTTTTTAGGATGCATAAAATGCTATGTTCTTTTGGCTAATGTTTATGAAATAAAGTATGACATACGCTATAGCAACTGAATTTTTGTATACCATAAATAGGTTTATGCTGTGGTTCGCTAATATTTCACTACGAAACAACACAGCTGAAAAACATTTTTATATCCAACACATATATCGTAAGAAAAAATAATTATAGTAATCATGAGTTCTTTACATTTTCTATTTAGTTTACTGAAAACTTAAAATATGGATCTCCTTTTATAGCTGATGAACTGTCCTAGGATTGCGAGTCGAGCGCTCTAAACACCTGGCCATGGCGGGTCGGCGTTCTTAGAAAACACGTTATAAAATATTTGAGTAATTTATTATCAATAAGTTATTAAAAACATTATATATATATATATGAATACTGATTTGTTTGAATACTTCACTGCAGTGTCAGCGCACATACATAATTTCAGCAGGTAAATTTCTACTAAGTAGTTTGCGTAATTTTAATTTTAAATAACAAAGAGATTCTTTACGCAATATTCTTAAAAAACATAATTTTACAGCATTTGTGAGCAAAGTTTTTATTAGATGCCTTGATAAATAGAAGTTTTGCTCGTCAGAAAATGGACAACATGCTTAACAAAATGTCTTCTTCTGCATCACTTGTTTTAAAACAAATGATTAAATGTATAGTTTATGATGGTCAATAATTCACCTCAATTTGCACATTTGCAAAAATAAAAAATTAAGATCCATATCTTTAGATTATGTAAATTTTGTCAATTTATTATATTACTATTAACATATCTAAAAGGTTTAAAATTTGATATTCCATAATCTAGCAATTTTTGAATATAAACATAGTTTTCGTTTCGATGGTCTTTTACTTGTGGCAGAAACGTAGCATTTAGGCAAATGGTATATAGGAATTTACACAGGAGATAAATCACAGTATTTTTTCTACGCTGCTATCCGAAGCAGAATAACCTCATTCAGTACTTGTGCCCAAGAAACTATGGTGTCGTTTACTTCCTGCTTTTCATGTATATCCAATGGCATGCGGTTGGCACCCTGACAGAATTCAGCACATCCTACTACATCTGTTTACGAGTGTAAAACGATAAACATAATAGAAATTGCATATAAATATATAAAACTTAAAATATATTACTATCTAAGAAGTTGGAATTGTTTCCTTGCACCAATATAGTTATATTCGATGAAATTTTCTTACTTATTTATGGAAACATTAATTTGTAAAACGTGCAATTCTAAATACTTATAGTAATAAATACTATTAATTAAGGCATAATATTTCTTGAAATATATTGAGCATAAACTGTATTGGATTATATTTTCTATATTATTGTGTCTGCCCAAAAAATAAGAAGCAGCCAAATGTGTTATCCATAGTCACTACGTATTCCCTTGGTATATCTTTGTGAACATGAAAATAGTTTGACTTTAATATCAAAGTGCATCAGAAGAGTGTATCACTTTTATTTCCAAAGCATACTTATTTTCTGTTAACGTTAGACTTTTTACATAGAACTGTATTAGTAAATAACTCAGATTATCCGAACAATATTTCCAGCTCTTAAGCACTTTATTGCAAGAGCTTCTCCGTGCTGAGTTAAAACGTGTCCTCCTACAAGTAACTTATGATGTTTCCATTACCATGTGAATTTATAAAGTTCCAATACTTGTATGTAAAATGAATGTGCATATTTGATAAAGTTTCAAAATTCACAAATATTCAGACCTGTACAGGCTGACAAATATTGTTTTTATATTCTGAATAACACTCCTATGTTAACCCTATGTTGTTATATCGATATTTAAAAATTAAATAACTTCAAGTTCAAGTTTCATAATTTTATTGTTAAATGTAACAGAAATCAAAGTTTAAGTTTTAAAGTGAAAGTTGAAACGTTTTTTGTTTGTTTTCTCTCTCTAAAAGAACTATTTTGTTCTGTTCAATGCATTATTAGTTTGTGTATGGGTCATCAAGGATTTTTTAAAGATGCGAGTTGTATGTTTTTAAAACAAGGTGTAGGAAACTAAAACTGGGCTTAGCTATCACAAGCCCACACTGGCTCAGCGGCATATCTGCGGACTCACACCTCTAAAAATCGGGATTCGATACCTATGGTGGGCACAACAAAGATGGCTCACTGTGTAATTTTTTTTCTTAACAACGAGCAAACACTATCACAAAAACTTGTTTATATGTTCACGTTATACTTTGCATTATATTTGTTACTCATATATCAAAAAAAATTACCTTAACTTTAGTATGATCAGAAAAAAACTGTTTCTATAGAAAAATAGTTACATTTGTTTATTTGCACTTTTTCAGAGTAATCTAGGCCTACGGCAAGGCCCGAACTCTTACCAACCGCCACCCAGTGTATACGAAGATGACCCGGGAATCATGTCAGAGGTCGAGACGGCCGCCACCGGTTTTCGCAGGGCCATTAAAGCCAGATCATCCCTTCCAATTGTCCGAACCCCTTCAAAGACTCAGGAACGACCCCTTGGTAAGTATTTTTTTGTAACTACCTTCTTGTGGTTACGTGACGAGGTTCTTATAAAGTAGATGTCTAAGGTTTCAATTGCTAGAAAGTTTATCTCGTAGTTCAGGAAATGTTTGAACGTTTGTTTGATCTTACGTCCTGCTATGTTTATTATTGTTACAAAATACATTTTCTGTAGCATGTTTGATTTTGAATTTATTGTGCAAATTGTCACTGATGCTCTTGACATTGTATGAAAACTCGAGTCTTTTCAAATGACAAAAAGGTTCCCTTTATTAAAAGTCTCAGATCGACAAAAGTATTAGTCTATCAGTCATCTTAGTAGTAGACTCATCACAGGATAAGGAATCGCTAGAAAATGACACTTCAACTATTTCACCACGCTGTGGGAGAACTGAGACACATTCTCACGATAAAGTCAGACAATGTGTATAATTATACTACTACCGAATATTGTATTATGTATTAAAATCATTATTATCGTGAGGTATCAAACATTTAGTTGTAAGTTACTTGATATTTTTAATACAATTTTCACAGGTTTCTTCTATTCAAATAACTAACTTGAAATTAATTTGATGAATAATTATTATACATATAATTTTACATCCCTGCGAAAGGATATACAATATATTCTTGCAGAGATTCAATGAAATTGTCAAACGGATTTCAATCTCTGGGTTATGCCTTGAATTAGGTATGCCATAAGTCTAAGAGACAGACTACCTTAGTATATTTATAGTATTTGGGCACTTGTGTATAAAGTTAAAATCATAAGTAATATTCAACGTTAAACTGGTACACAATTAAAAACATTTTATTTAGGCCTATCTATGGCTTTCAAAAACATAGATAGGCCTAAATAAAATATTTTTAATTGTGTACCAGTTTAACCTTGAATATTATTTATGATTTTACCTTGGTATATGTTTCAATCTTAAGACTATTACTGCTAGTAGAAAATTTATGACCAATAATAATATTATTACATAACTAAATCGTTTCGCTTTCACAAACGTTTACTACTGAAACATGCAAAGAATATGGACATAAAAGTGGGTAAAGGACGAAGTTTAAGTCAAAATATTGCGCTGGAAGTTAGGTTTTGATTTTGTAGTAATCGTTTGAATTAGTGTTAATCAAATTATCTTATTTCTTTCATTATAGAAGTCATCTATCGTTTTTATGTTTTATTACTATTGCTTATGATATGTACACAGAGAAATGAACAATCTTTTTACTATACACTGAGTGGTCACAAGTAAATAGACACCTAAATTTTCGTCATTTAACTGATTT